ATTACACATATAGAGCACAAATTTTTCATATCACTGGTTGTATATAAAGTATGTTCACACCAATTCATGACTTCATAGATGTACTTTGGATAATAATGTCTATTACATTTCATCATCCTTGCTAATCCCCTGCACCCCCGCCTCCCCTCCCACCCCTCTGTCCTATCTAGAGTTTGTCTAATTCTCCCATGCCCCCACTCCTTACCCCACTATGAGTCAGTCATCTTACATCAGAGAAAACATTCGCCATTTGTTTTTTGGGGATTGGCTAACTTCACTTAGCATTATCTTCTCCAACTCCATCCATTTACCTGCAAATGCCATGATTTTATTCTCTTTTATTGCTGAGTAATGTTCCATTGTGTATATATGCCACATTTTTTAAAATCCATTCATCTATTGAAGGGCATCTAGGTTGGTTCCACAATTTAGCTATTGTGAATTTTGATGCTATAAACATTGATGTGGTTGTGTCTCTGTAGTATGCTGTTTTTAAGTCCTTTGGGTATAGACTGAGGAGAGAGGTAGCTGGGTCAAATGGTGGTTCCATTCCCAGTTTCCCAAGGAATCTTCATGCTGCTTTCCATATTGGCTGCACCAATTTGCAGTCAAAACATGGGCTCCTTTAATTTCCTTGTTGCTTTATTCCACTTGTGGACAGACTGTTCTGGCTTGTACCTCTGGCCTCTGCTATGGTTGTAGTGCTGGGAATTTCTTCCTTATTTTATTATATTTAATCTCCTGAGACCCCAATCTGTTTTGAGGGTCCATATTAAATTCCAGTAAAGTATCCCCTAATTTTTGTTTGTTCACCCACTTTGTTGAGAAGCTGCCTGTCTGCTTTTCTTAGTTTTACACCATGGAGCACCCAGGGAAGTGATTTCTCTATTCTACGATATTCCTAGATTTGTTCTTAAGCATACTTTTTCAAGCCATTGTGAATGGCATTGTTTTCCTGATTTCTTCTTTAGCAGGTTTATTATTAAATTATAGAAAACTATTGATTTTGTTCATGCTGAATTTGTTCATCAGCTCTAGAAGTCTTCTGGTGGAACTTTTAGGTTCTTCTAAGTATAGTATCATATCATATCTGTACACAGGGATACTTTTACTTTTTTCTTTTCTGTTTTTATCCCTTTTATTTCCTTCTCTTTCTAATTGCCCTAAAATTTTAAGTACAATGTTGAATAGGAGTTTTTGGAATAGATATTCTTGTTTTATTCCTAATTTTAGAGGGAATGTGTTAACTTTTTCCCCATTCAGTGTAATGTTGGCTTTGAATTTATTATATATAGCTCAAATTATGAAACACTAGTTTCTTTATGGTTTTTATCATGAAGAGGTATTGAATTTTGTCAAAGGCTTTTTCTGCATCTATTTGGATGATCCTATGATTTTTCCCCCTAAATTGTTTTTATGAGGTATGTTGTGTATATTGAACCATCCTTGCATCCCTGGAATGAAACCAACTTAATCATGATGTATGATCTTTTTATGTGTTGTTGAATATACTTGCTGATATTTTATTAAAGCTTTTTAATCTATTTTCTTCAAGAATATTTGCCTGTAGTTTTCTTTCTTTGAAGTGTCCTTGTCTATATTTGCTTGTAATTTTCTTTGAAGGTCTTTACCTGGTTTTGGCATCAGGGTGATCCTAGTTTTGGTATCAGGTTGATCCTGGTTTTGGTAACAGGGTGATACTGGTTGTGTAGAGTGAGTTTGGAAGTGTTTCTTCCGTTTTTGTTCTATGGAATTATAATTTGAGAAACATTGATAGTAGTTCTTTAAATATCAGATAGAATTCAGCTATGAATACATTTAGTCCTGGGCTTTTTATTCTGTGGGTTTTTATTACTACTTCAATCTCTTTGGTCTGTTTAGATTTTCTATTTCCTCTTAGTTCAGTTTTGGTAGATCATATGTCTGTAAAAATTTATCCATTTCCTCTAGATTTTTCAGTTTATTGAACCAAAGTTTGAAAACTAATCTCTAATATTTCTCTGGATTTCAGTTAATTTTGGTCTTCTTTCTCTTGGTTAATTTAGCCAAAGGTTTATCAATATTATTTATTTTTTCAAAGAGAAAATTTTTCAGTTCATCAATTCTTTATATTATTCTTATAATCTCCATTTCATTAATTTTGGCTATGATCTTTTTTCTTTCTATTGAGTTTTAAAATATTTTTTAAAAAATAATCTTTTATTCTTTTTAGACTGTATATTTCAACATATTATACACTCATGGAGTATTACTTATTCTAATAAGGATCCCATTTTTGCAGTTGTACATGATGTAGAGTTTCACTGGTTGTATGCTCAACTATTGAGTTTTTCAAAAATATTTATTTTTTAGCTTTAGGTGGACATAATATCTTTATTTTATTTTTATGTGGTGCTGAGGATCAAACCTAGTGCCTCATGAGTGCTAGGTGAGCACTCTATCGTTGAGCCACAATCCCAGCCCCATCTATTGAGTTTTTTATTTGACTTATTTTGCTTTTCATTTCCAAGATTTCTGTTTGATTCTTTTTCAGCATCTCTGTTTCATATCTTCTGTTTTCTTTCTTGATTCATTCCTTACTTGTTCTATTTATCCTTTGATTATTTTCACAGTCAAATTTTTGAATTCTTAATCCAGCATTTCAACCTCTTCTATGTCTTCTATGTCTTTTATGTCAGTTATTGGGAGGTTAAAAACTTTCCAGGGCATCTTATTGGCTTGTTTCCTCATGTTTTTGACATCTGTATTTTTGTGTGTGTCTGTTGTGATGGATTCCTCACCCAGGCATCCTGTGGACAATCCAGATTATGCCACACCTCTTATTCGAAGAGCCTTAGGCAATGTATTGGGGTGTGTGCATTTGGGAAGCACCTAGATTGTATCATTAGATCCACCAGGCACTTCTAGGCAATTCTAGGAGGAATTGGCCAGGATTACTTGTACTGAACTGTGCTGCTTTTTACCCAAACTGGACCCATCATACTTCTATTTCCCATGGGACTTTCTCATTATCACAAAGTTTCTACTGCCAAATTCAGAAGCAAGAATCCTCCTGCCTTTCTCTGTGCTATGGATCCACAGACCAGTAGACTTGTCTCCTGTTGTCACCCAGAAAGAACTTCCTGTGGATCCATGCCACAGTCTCTTGACTCAAGGCTTGGTCATCAACCGAGAGAAGCAAGAGTGAGAAGTAAAGCATAGGTGACTTTTGGCTGTTGGACACACAAAAAGAAACCAAACCAAGAAAAAAGAAAATAAAAGAAATATAAATGAAAAAAAGAAACAAAAATAAAATAAAATGTAACATTAGAAAACTACAGGGATTTCTGATTTCTTGCGCAGAATGTTTAAATAATGAGGCACTTTTTAAGCTGGTCTACTTTCCCACTTTCACTAAATCTACTGGGAAGTCCTGGGACTCTTCTGTACTGGCTCATCTCACAGCATCTGAGCCTCTTTTCTGCTCAGATTTTGGTTTTGCTGGACAGTAGAGCTTGTTTTTCTTAAACTTTCTGGGGAGGGGAGCTCCCCCCTTTTCACCCCCCAACAAAGCCATAATATGCCCAGTGCTGACAGTCTTTTTTTTATTATTTTCACTGTTATGAAAACTGATATTTCTAGATTTCACCTGATTGCTGACTTTCTGAGTTGCATTCCATTTCTTTCCCATATCTTCCGTTCTCCTCATTCAGTCTCAGCACTTTGGTTTTGATTCAGTTTCAGGGAATACCTACTATATGGTGGATGTCATTAATTTACTATTTTCCTTCCCTGTTTGATTTGTTCTTCAAGAAGCACTTGTTAGTTTTTGTCTTGATTTGGTCTTCAAGAAAGACATTATTTCCTCTTGGTTTTTTTCTTTCCCCAATCTAAGGTGGTTTGCTCAAACCTATTCCCTGATCAGTACTTTGCTAAATATTCAAGGAAGATCTTCCTGAAGGTCCTTTCTATGTCAGTTTTTCTTCTTTGCTGCTCTGTCTGTGAGCCCAGTTATCCTTGGTCAACCTAGAATTAGTTCTCTCTCAATGAAGTGAATCTGCCAGATTCCATCTGGCTTCCCCATCCCAGTGCTTGGCCTGGAAACTCTATAGGTAAGCAAGGAAATCATAAGGCTCATAATACATTTTCTATCTCTTTCAGAAATCACCATCATCCTTACATGATAAGTAATGTCTAAAATTTAGTTATATGAATTTTGTCTATGCCTTTTAATTGTTTATGTGGGAGGATGGATTTGGCCCGTTTTCTCATTATAGCTGGGGTAGAAGGTCTCATGTAATTTACATCTTTATGAAAAGAAACAAATGATACATAAACAGAGAGACATATATCATTTGGCATAGAATATGTAAGTAAATTTTGTACCATTAGGTTTTCTTATTCTCTTTCCTTACCTCCATCTTCGCTCCTTTCTTTCTGACTTACATAATCATATAATGATTCTTAAAATATGTTACTAACTATTTCCAACATTTCATTGTTTTTTAAATCTTATTTACGGTACTTTTTCCATGCAAAATTTTATATTTTTATGTAGTCAAATATATCAATCTGTTTATTATGAACTATGGATTTAAATTATGCTTACCAAGGTTCTATATATACCAATATTATTAATGTATTTACTTACATATTTATTTTTTATTAACAGTATAATTTCATTTATTACATTAAAATAATTTACTCATACTTATTTTAGGAAAAGAAGTATTTAATCAGTAAAATCTTAAATGTATTTGAATTCTCAATCCTTGTTTTTACTTTTGGGGAAAGAAAATGCTCCTTTTTAATTTTTTACTATCATTCTTTTTTCCCAGCTTTTTAAAATCTGTCATATATAATTTAATTTGCATGAACTGAAATAAAACTTTTCAACTCTTTATGTAAAAAATAAGGGTAACTCAAAAGCAAAGCACTAATTGCTAAATAAGTTGGTTTATTTTACACTTTAATAATCATTTTAATTAAAATGTTAGCGTCCTTGACTTTTTTTATGTTAGACTTGGGAGACCTGGTGTTGATTGTTATTGCCAACATGAAAGTGGTGCAGCTGTCTTGCAGCTACAATTCTTGATCAATGAGGTAAGGATTTTTTTTTAACTATTTATATATGTACACCCATAATTGGACACACACGTATAGATTTTTTACTATTTAAAACATACCCACACCCACAGTATTACAAATTGAGTTTCCCTTATCTGAAATGCTTTGGACTAGAAGTATTTCAATTTCAGATATTTTTTAAAATTTTGTATATTTTGCATATATACATAATGTGACATCTAGGGATGGGACCTAAATATAAGCATGACACTTTAAAGTATTTTTTGTACTCCTTATACACATAATCTGAAGGTAATTTTACACAATATTTTCAATATGTTTGTTTTGACTACAGTCTGTCACATGAGATCAAATGTGGAATTTTCTACTTGTAGCATCTTGTTGACACTCAAAAAAATTCGGAGTTTATTTACATATGAGGTTTTGGATTTTTTGGATTGGGATGCTCAATCTATAAGAGACATAGTATTTTAAGTATTATGATTCTAGGTAATATATATGTATGCAGTATTATTTATAGTTACATTTTTCATAAAAGGGCACACTCGTATAGTTGCCAATTTATTAAAATTTAAAGGATTCTATTATTATGTATAACTAAGAAGAATAAGTAAAATATAAAAAAGGACAAATATTTATGTACTAGAAGATCCTTTTATTGTGATTTTGTAGTGTACATAATTTGTATTAATTACCTAACTGGTGTTTTTAAAAAATCTAAGGTTCTTCAATCATTTCACTGGCCATTAAACTGACGTTTTTATGGATTTCAATTTTGTAATCCAGCTGTAAACTCATATTTTGCCTCTATTTTCAATTAAATAAATTTAAGCTTGTTTATTTACCTGTAGGCCCTTATTTTTGTATATGCATATATCTGTATATATATATTCAGATCATATGCATGATCTGTATATATATATTATCTTTTATTTCCATATGAATTTGTTGATTTGTCTTCATTTTTATTTATTTATGTATGCATATCTGTTATGCTAATGTACCTATCCCTATTTTTCCAGAGCTACAATGATGAGACACTTTCTAGAAAAAAAAAATTGTATTTATCAACTCAGAAAAATTACATATCTTCCATATGTTGAAGGTTACTTATGGCCTGCTTGACTCAGATCTTTTACAGCGAATCCTAAAGTTTAAATAGCTACTTTCTGTTGTGAGCCAGCCAGTGCAAAAAGTACTTTAAAAGTTTGTGCACTTCAGAGATTAAACTCAGTGCCTTGTAAAAAGTTGGTTGTTTTCTCATAGCATGATGATGCCCTTTTATTCAGTTTCTGCATATATTTGCATGTGTCATACTAACAATTTATGATGATACACATAGGTAAAATGTCTTATAGAACTTTGTATAAGAAATATTTGAGGCAAGAAAAAAATTGTGGTATTGAAACATGTCCATTTTTTATTTCTCTTGGCCTAAAATCTTTCTCGGAGACTATGAGATACTCCTTATCAACAAAGTTAGCATATTAAACTTTGTAGACACACTTGCCATGGGGTACCAAAAAAAGAGAGGGAGGTAAGGAGGAAAAGCGGAGACATTTAAAAATATTTTATTATGATAACTAATCATTATTATTCAGAATGTCAACCATTTGGGTTCTCAGTGCTACTCTGTAGTTCCTAATTATGGAATCTTAGTGCTTTGCCTTCTGCACAGAAGTATACTACTAGGCATAGTTTGTTTCCATATGATTTGTTCTAGGTTTCATACTCTGAAGATTGACTTGAAGGATCTAAGTTTGCCTCTATACTACATAACTAGGAGAAAATAGAGACAAGTTTTTATACGCCCTGCATTGTTTACAGTGTTTATCATAAACTATTCACCCTGATTTACCTCACACTCAATTATGTTCTCATACTTCCCAGGTTTTGATCTCATGGCTATTTGCAATTTTAAATAATCACAGATTTTTATAAATAAGTAATGCTTTTGCTAATAAAGATTCATGCTTTTGTAAATGAGCCTTATACACTCGATGATGTGCATACTTTCATGTGTCTGGTCTTCTGTTAGTACTGTTATGCTCAATGATTTAATGATATTACATCCCAGTTTTATCATTACTAATAATACTCAGATTCTTCATAGATTCAATCAGATATTACACTAAGATATTATTGAATATATGATGCTGTGTTTTAATTCATTACCCTTGATGTGTTATATCTTTGGTTTGCACATAACAATTTAATGTAAAACACATTTTATTAATTTTGTATAACATGTTTATTTCTTACCCTGACCTAAGTGAACTTCCACCTCTATGAGAAATGAGATAAATGTCTATTTTTTTTTAAAAAAATCAGATATAGGTTATCAAGCACTTTCAAGCAAACCAATAACTTTCTAGTTTATGCATAGGAAGTGCATAAAAAGTTTACAAATAAAGCATGTAAACAAAGGAATTCTCACGGTATGTATAGGATATATCATATTGCATGGTATAAAATTATGAGTTCATGCTAAAGTGTGTATATCAACATATTTCCCTTGGTACATGTGTTTTTATGTATTTATGTATACATATGCAAGTTATATAAAATTTAAAAATGTACCAATATGCTCGATAATTGCTTTTTAAAAATAAAGCTATTCCTCTCAAAGACTAAAATCACAGGTACATAATTTAGAGGGAAACATCATAGGGTACAGGCATGCTTTAGGCTTAAGAACTGTTTCAAAAGGACATTTAGATTCCTATGATCTTTTTTCTAACTCCAAAGGAAATAATCAATGCTAGGAATTTCAATATAGTTTTTCCTAGCATATAAATGAGACAATTTTTTATACTGATGACTGATATTGGAAACTCTTGAAAGATTACTTGTAATAAAATACTTGGGAAAATATGTGAAGCATTTTAGGTATCTTAGAACTACCATAGTTCTGCCAGATAAATTTTAGAGAATGTAGATCTAGATAGTTTTAGGTTCAACCACAGGGCACACCTAGACATTTTCAGTTGTGAAACTATCATTTTAGTAAAAGTTCTGATATATTTTAAGATGATGTTACTTAACTCAGTGAAATAGTTAAATTATATATATGTATAACTTTATACATATAATTTATATATATTCATATATATATGCACCACAAATATGGCAGCCAGTATCCATCCATATCCTTTCTGCCTTATTAAGTAGAAAATATTCTATTGTAGTTCAAACAGGACTAATCTGTATTTGCTGATGCTAGATAAAAAGAATCTTGGAATTATTTTATAAATATATTGAATTCTGTTGGAGAAATTTTTTTATTATATATACTTTTGTTTATACTAGGTAAAGCTTCTTATAGTATAAGAAGCAGATTAAATTATACCAAATATACTTTTTAGTAAGAATATAAACTTTTTAAACCATAAAGAAAATTCTTACAGAAGAGAACTTTTATATAAACTATATATTTGATTCACAAAACTATTTGGATATCTGCTTCTTTATATATATAATGTATATGTAAATGGTAGAAACAAAAAATCTAAACTTTTTTCTAAAGAAAATACAAAAAAACCTTCGTTAGTTTCAGTGATGCTGTATTGATTATTTCTATTAGTAAATATTACTTGATCTAGTCATCTTGACCATCCATATGTAATAAATCACTTCTGTTCTCAGCAGTTGTAACCTTCTTGATTGAAGTATATGCAATTGTCTTTCCATATATTTTTAGGTTTTAAAGACACAAATATCTCCTGAAGCAGTGAAAATTCAGTAAATTTGCTTACTGTTTCTACTTCCCTAAATTAAATAAATCCCACACTTACTTTGTATTCTTTTTGTTACAGGGTGCTTTGGTCAGTGCAAGTTCAGATGATACACTTCATTTGTGGAACCTTAGACAAAAAAGACCAGCTATTCTTCATTCTCTTAAATTTAACCGAGAACGGTAAGAATATATCAATTAAAGAACTCAATGTACAAAAATTATTTATTGAGCAAGTTTCACATTAACTTGACTGGCTTTTTCTTTATTAATATCAATAGCTAGAAACAATTTAATGTGTATGCTTGCTCTTTTTATATTTTCTTTTATTAGAATATATATAATTGATATAGATTCAATCACCTAGTAATGGAAACTACCTAAGTATTTTGTTCTCTTAGTTGTAAACCAGCAATGACATGTTCTTTTCTTTGCACCATGGTACTGAAAACACAGACTAACATTTAAAGGGTAAATGCATAATAAATGTATTTCTATACCTTTTGATCATGGTAATTAGATCCTATACTCTAACCCTAACTTGTTGTTTATAGATACAATGAGAAAAAATTATGGAAATTATACATGCATTCTTCATTGTACTTCTAATTTATTTCTTTTATGTGTGTAATATACTGCCTAAGTCATTAACCCTCATTATTCTGGGTAATATTGATGATTTTATATTTCAATATTCTAGCATTCTACATCAATGGGAAGTTTTTTTAATATCCAGTATTTTTTATGGGAAGGGGAATATATATTTTAGATATTTGCTAAAAACCACATAGTATTTCTTTATTAAGATGAAACCAAAAATTTGTTACTTTTTTATTTAAAAAAAGTTAAATGGTAGAAATTTCAGGATATTGAAAAATTTAAGACAAGTTCAGAATTAGTATGTGGCTTTTTCTTTAATAGTGAAAAATATTAACTATTCACATTCCCATATTTTATCTCTATGTGCTGATAAGGGTTTTTCCTCTCTTTGATTTAATGCTTTAAGTAGATATGACCCTAAACATTTTTGTGGATTGACAGAGTGGGTTTTCTCCCCCTCACAATTCAAATGTTGAAGGGAATATTCTGGTTCATTTTATGTTACCCAACCCCTTTTTGTACCAGTGATTGAACCCAGAGATACTTAACCACTGAGTGACATCCCAACCCTTTGAGAGAGGGTCTTGCTAAGTTGATTAGCCTTGTTAAGTTTCTGAGGTTATCTCTGAAATTGCAATCCTCCTGCCTGAGCTTCCTGAGTTGCTGGGATTACAGGTATGAATAGGCCTTGAGAATAAAATATATAATCTTGAAAATAATATTGACCATAAAGAAAAGATATTAAGAGCCCATGACCAGGATTTTCAAGAAATTTGGGATAACATCATGAGACCAAATTTAAGAATCATTGGGATAGATGAAGACTCTGAAATATAAAATAAAGTAATACATAATCTTTTCAATTAAATAATATTAGTAAACTTCCAAATTTTTGGAATGAGATGGAAATTCAAATATAAGATAAAAGAACTCCAAATATGACAGAATCAAAATAGAACTACTCCAAGTCACATTAAAATGAAAATGTCTAATATACAGAATAAGGATGGAATTTTAAAACCTTCAAGAGAAAAGTGGACAGTCACATTTAGAGGTTGATCAACTCAAATTTCAACTGCTTTCTTAACCCAGACTCTAAAAGCCTTGGAATAATACATATGAATCACTGAAGGAAAATGGATGTCAACCAAGATTAATATACCCAGCAAAATTATCTTCAGAATTGACAACCTTCCATGATAAAAAAGAAACTAAAAGAATTCACAACCAAAAAATATACACCATATCTCAATGAAATATTGTGTGAAGAAGAAATGAAAATAAAAATGAAAACGAGCATAGGAATGAATTATAGTAAAGAATAGTCAATTACTTGAGAAGCAAGTCTGAAGTAAAAACTAGAAATAAGTCAAAATGGCAGGAAATAAAAATTATTTCTCTATAACATTAAATGTAAACCATCTAAACTTGGATCAGCCATCTAGGCTTGGATCAGCAGATTGGATTAAAAAATCAAGAGCCAACAATGTGTTTGCAAGACTCAAAGACAATGACATCCACAGACTGAAGGTAAAAGGATGGGAAAAGACATACCAACCAAATGGTACCTGTGAACAAGCAGCAGTAGCTATTTTCTCATATCAGACGAAGTGGACTTCAAGCAAAAATTAATCAGAAGAGACAAAGAATGATACTTCATACTGGTTAAGGGTATCATTTAACAACAAGTTATAATGACTGTAAATATTTTTGGCCCAAACAATGGTGAATCTACTACATAAAACAAATCCTTCTCAATATTAAATAGACCACAGTACAATAATATTGGGTGACTTTAGCACACCTCTCTCACTACTTGATAGATGATGCAGAAATAAACTAAATATTCTTCAGAACTAAAAAAAATATTATTAATAAAATGCATCTAACAGACATCTATAGAATATTTCATCCTTGAATAACTGAATTTCACTTTATTTTCAGCAACACATGTAACATATTTTAGGTAACAAAGTAAATCTTAGCAAATATGAAAAAAAAGAGAGAGAAAGAGAATTCCTTACCCTTAAATACTGTCACACCATAATGGGATAAAATTAGAAAACAATAACAAGGTAAAACCCAAAAACCATTCTAACACCTAGAGATCAAATAATATACTTTTGAATGATGAATGAGTAGCAGAGAAATCAGAAGAAAATTTTAAAAATTAAAATAATTCTTAAAATTAAAGAGAATAGTAATACAACATATCAAAATCTCTGGGACTATATGAAGGCAGTTGTAGGAGGAAAGTTTATAGTGCTGAGTTCATACATTAAAAAAAAGATACCAAATAAATAATCTAACATTATACCTCAGAGGCCTAGAAAGTAGAAGACAGGAAATAATTGAATAATTGATATTAGAACCAAAGTCATTGAAATTGAAAATAAAAAACAATACAAAAGGTCAGTGAAATAGAGTTGGTTTTTGGAAAGGATAAACATGATTAATAACCCTTAACCAAACTAATCCTTAACCAAAAGAAAGAGAAGACTCAAATTAATACAATTATAAATGAAAAGGGAACTATCACCATAGACACTACTGAAATCCAGATGATCATCAGTAACTATTTTGAAAATTGATACTTTAATATGCTAGAAAATCTTGAAGTGATTGACAAATTCCTAGACATATAATCTACCCAAATTGAACCATGAGGATGTTGAAAACTATCAGATCAACATCAGGTAATGAAATTGAAGCAAGTACCAGTAGCCTTCCAACAAAGAAAAGCTCAGGACTAGGCCAATTCTGAGCTGAGTTCTACCAGACCTTTAAAGAAGAACCATTCCTCCTGCAATTATTCAGTGAAATAGAAAACAATGCATTCATCCTGCGAAGCCAGTATTACCCTGATACCAAAAGCAGAGAAATACAAATTAAGGAAAGAAAACTTCAGAACAATATCCCTGATGAATATAGATGAAAAATTCTGAATAAAATATTGGACAAGCACATTCAAAAACATACTAAGAAGGTAGTAAATTTTGATCCAAGTGAGTTTCATCCCAGGAATGCAAGGTTGATTCATCATAAGGAAATCATCTGCAGTTTATTACATAAGTGTTAAGGACAAGAATCACATGGTTAATAAATGCAGAAAAAGCATTTGACAAATCCAGCACTCATCATGTTTAAAACACTAGAAAAACTTAGGATAAAATGAACTTTCCTCAACATTGCAAAGGCTATATCTGAAAAACCCAAGGCCAACATTATCCTAAAGAGAGAAAAAACTGAAAACATTTCTTCTAAAATCAGGGACAAGGATGTTCCCTCTCACCCTTCCTATTCACTGTAGTCCTTGAACTCTTAACTATAGCAATCAGGCAAGAGAAGGAAATCAAAGGGAGATAAATAGGAAGAGAAGAACTCAAATTATTTCTATTTGCTGATAACTTGAGTCTATATTCAGAAGGCCCAAAATACACCACCTAAAGATTTCTAGAGTCAATAAAACAAAATTTAGCAAAGTAGCAGGATATAAGATCAACATGCAAAAATCAATGACTTTCTTATACTTCTATAATGGAACTGCTCCATATCATGAGGTTATAAAAAAATTCAACTGTCATATTAATGTTTTTAATTTAAATTTTAGTTGAGTTTTATTTCTGTCTTATTTTTGTATTTTTTATGGGCATAAAGAAGCATGAAATATTTAGATCTTCTTTCTTACATAAGTTATAGAATTTCTAAAAGTAAGTCAAATTGAAGATCAGAAAAAAGTTTTCAAAGGTCTGTACATTATTTTAGCTTTACACACACACACACACACACACACACACACACACACACACGCACACACTCTCATATAT